ATCATCCTGAAGGAAGGACACTGGCAGCTCTTTGAAAATCAGCTTTCTCACAGCCAAGCCTGGCTCCATGTTCTGCAGCATGGCTTCCGAAATTCTGTTGGCTACGCAGCACTTCTGCAGCAGGGTGCAATTAATTCAGTAGAAATTAAATACAGAAGAAATAAATGCAGTGCAAGTTGACAATTCCTCTTTGCAAAATCACCAAGTCTATAGGGAAACAGTATCAAGCAAAACGTACACCAAGACAAGCCTTCAGTTCTGTGGGGCTCAGAGTCACAGACCTTGGACTTGGTCCTGCTTCAGTTGCTCTGAGTTATGGGTGATTTACAAACACAGAAATGTCGACCTGATGGACTGGAACGGCAGCATCTTAAGCAAAACCTGGTGTATTGATCAACACGTTTTATACCCCCCTCTAGTCAGTCACTGTTTTTTTTTTTTTTTTTCAGTTCATAGCTCACTACAGAAAAGCTGCTCTGCAGTGCTGTTTAGAAACACTTGGCCAACACTGCAAAGGTTAAAGGCTTTGATGCTCCGACTGAGCAGTGTGCCAAGCCCGGCCCATGTCCTGCTCTCCTGCTAGCGGCACAGGCTGATCTTCCCGCCGAGGCTGCCTCCAGGTGCCCCAGCAGCGCTGAGCGCGGGGCCACAGGAAGCCTCCGCTTCCTGCCCGGCGCTCCTCGGAGCGGGACGCGCTCCTCTAACCCACCTTGCTCACCTCACTTGTGAATTTTCTTAGATTGAAAATGGAAAATACAAATGGTTAGAGGCTCATAAATTCAAGTCTTGACCCTCATGGCTCCTACCTCAACAAATCACTTAAAAATTAATGGTTGTCTATATCGACGAGAGTTCTGCTTCTGTAAGGAGATCACATTTTGGACTCTGTTTTGGATTCCAGGTTTTGAACAGAACAGAGGCCAATTGGATTTAACATATTATGAACGGCCGACACTGTTTGGACAGGATACTAAAAAGAAACAGGTTAACAGAAAGAAAATTTCAGTAATTTTTAACAGTAAATTGTTTTCAGAAGCTTCTTAAACTAAAGTAGTTATGGACCCTTCACTCTTCAGGTCCTGCTTCTCTGCTTCCTATATAAGCAAAAAGTGTTCCCCAGACTTTGAGAAACAGTGGTTAAATCTTGTTTATTTTTAATCCACAGGCAGGAAGGTTTCTCCAGGGTCCGAGCCCACACTAGGCTCCTCAGTCAACATTTCCCTGTGCAGCCCATTTCTGTCAAACTACAAGCTACCAAAACCCATTTAGATTTAATCCTCAGCAGATGTAAATCATAATAAAAAGAATAGTTGTTAGCTTAGAATTTAAGTAAGATTGTTAGAGTCTCATACATGTTAGCCTTGACACCTTGGTCCCTACTTTACCAAGACTTCCTTCTTTAGAAGTGTGAAGAATCTCCATTTCTCCAATAGGTGAGGAAAGCTTGGGAGATCAAAGCTCCAATAGTGCAGATAGAGAATTCAGAAAACAAAGTGTAGCCAACTTCATTGCTTGTGTCTTTTCTTTTCCAGAAATAACTTTATTAGGAGGAAATGATTGTTTTAAAAACAATAACATTATGTTTCTGGAGAGTGATAAACAAATACATATTCCAACTCTACTAGTGCAAAGGCAGATTAGCCTATAGAATTATGATGCCCAAACCCAGACTTCTTACCATGCACAGTTTTGGAATGGGAGAAAAGATACCATGGCAAGAGAAACATGTGGAAGAAGTGGAAATGATAGAAATTGATCCTCAAGCAAATACCTGTTAAAAACTTGCAGCTAACTTTTTAACGACCTCTCCTGTTAACTAACTGCATATACAGAAGAGAAATCAGATGGCAGAGGAAGAAGATTGGTCTGTAGTGACAAGGAACAGCTGTTTGCTTGAAACCTGAAAGTCCTATGAACACAGAAAAATCACAGTGAAAACATGGTTTGAGCTGACCCATTCCTGCCAGTAGCTCTAGTGCTATGTAAAATGATGAAGTTCCACAACAACTAAACATAGCAGCAGGGTTTGGATTGTTATAGCTGTGTATATGGCTAGTTCCTATCCTCAGTTATAAGTCACTTTGTTTGCCAGTATTTGGGACACAGTACCAAAGGGCTAGACAAAAGCAAAAAGCTGTTAGAAGTGAATTTTTATAATTTGCTTTTTATCATTTTACTACTTCACAAGTTTCTTAGATTGAGTTCCTTTTTTTCTGAATCACCGTTTCCCCAAGCATTGCTAATTTTGAAAGTTTTTTAGTCCAGCTCCAAGACACAAGTTTTTGTGCCATGTTCTGCACAAAGTTCTTGCTCTTGCACTGCAGGTAGGTTAACAGCATGCAATGGCACTTCACAAAATACTCAAACTCAACTTTCCTCATCAAAAACAAACAATAACACACAATATGCTCCCTCAACAGGTAGGTCTGACATTTTTTGCAATACCAGAAGACCAAAGATCGACCGGAAATCAATAGTTTCCTTCTAAAATACTTTAAAATACAAACTTTAAGTTTTCATGTATGAAAGTTCAGGCATTCTGCATTTTCCCACAGGTTCATTCTGTGCTGTAGGAAAGTCAGCTCTAACTCTACTAAACACCTTATTTGTGTCTATGCTGTACAAGCTTTTAAGGATAGTATTTTGAAACATCTTAATATTTGTCTGTAACCAGTCATATCATAGACTTGATCTGATCAGTAATTCTGAAAGTCAAGACGAGCGATCTGAACACAGATCATCTAACTCGCATGAGAAGTTGCTGCTTGGTACTTTCATGGCAACCTTTCATAGGTAGCTAACTGCACAAAACTACAGCACAAAACAAAGCTTCAAGATCAAAATACTGCGGCTCAGTTTACTTACAGGTAGAGAGAATCATGTCTGGTTGTCTGCTTACAATCCAATGGAAATGCAATCCTTAATCCTTTTGCCGTCAGGGGTGCCACTATAAACACCCCTGGCTGAGCTCTTCGCTCTGATACGACACATGCTACAATGGTATAACACAAATACGGCTTGACCCCACCCCCTTTCCTTAAAAAAAAAGATACTAATCTCAACTCAAAAAAAAAAAAAAAAAGGTTGCTTTCTATAATCAAATGCATGTTTTACAGAAATCAGGAGAGCTAAGTAATGACTTAAAAACAAGTAAAATTAAAAATTTCAAGGGGTCTTTGAGGACACGCAAGAGTCAGTAAAATAGCTGACTACGGAGATTTTCTGATCCTTTGCAAAATTTACCATCTGGGGCTAGATGCATTTTTTTTTAAATTAGCTAGGTGCCTCCGAGTACCTGAAAAACATTTTTTCAGACAAGAGGCTTTCTTCCCTTTGAAAGGAATTCCCTTTGGAAGGGCTTGGACAAAGCAATGGGGGGGGATCTAAGCATCTCCAAAAGCGATTACAGACAAACTGAAATGGAGCAATGATGGACTGCACTGAGCTAACTACAGTCCACTTCAATAACTTGGTATGAAATAGACCTGACCATACAATTCTTTGCATGAAAAACTCTCTAAAAAATGGCCACCCATTCTCCACCACACAGGGCAGTAAGGGGCACCAGTAACAGATAATTAAAAAAAAAATCAGCCCACAACAAAAATAACAAAACATAGTCAGAAGCTGAGTAGAGCGAAACTGGAGCACACATACCCCTCACATCTATAAGTATAGTTAGGCTAATTTAAAGCCTCCCTGAAGTCTGTTTAATCTCCAGCGGAAGGGAAAGGACAAGTAACCTCTAAAAAGTAGCTCAGCCATTTCTGTGGTGAACATCTGATCACATAAATATATATTCATAGTATTCTACATACTTAATGTGTGCATATATATGTATATGCATATGTATGTATCTATATATACATGCACACACATCCTCATAATACTAATGAACAGTGAGTTTGGCTGATGAAGCAATGTCTGTCAGTAAGTTATTTGCAACACATCACTCTGTTCCAAACAACAGCTAACACTCAGTTTATTTACACACACACACACACACACAATATGACATTTTCTGTTAAAAACAGAAAGGGCAGATCACTGCACATACAGATGATAGAGATAAAATAAGGATCTCTCCTTTAACACATTAATGGTGTAATTTCTTTCATTTACCATCTCATACATTGAGTTGCATAAGTAAGCTAAGGTAGAACAAACTCACACTTGGAAACTTCAAGAGAACACTCGCTTTATATAAATAAATGTAGAGATTTATATATTTACAATACATACAGCATATAAATTATCTTATAATTAATCAAAAACAAAGTATTATAGTACACTGACAGCCAGTTGTGCTGAATCTTGGATTTATTTTTCATAAGTAATGTTAGGACTCATCTTGGAAGGTCTTTGGTTTATGAGAGGCCCTAGGTGGTCTCGGCATCTCACAGGCCTGTTCTTGGGCAGAGTTTTTGAGGGTTAGGGCAAACCAATGGCTGCATTGTTGGCAACTCACTATGTGCGAAGGAAAGAGGCAGGTTTTGTGTTCTTGATTTGGCACAGAACAACCACCCACTGAGAAAAATAATGTCTCTGGAGAATCTCGGAAACACTTCAGTGTCAGTAACTAACAATTAATAGATACCTTCAAATTTAAAGCACACAAATCCCTACTGCTACCACCATTTCTACTGCCTGAGCAAAGAGAAACTCAGAAACATGGACTGTATATACATAAACACAACCCAGTATGTGCAAACTAGGCTCTTGGGTTTGGTCACATTCTCTCTCTTTCTCCATAGAGAGCTCAGCTTGTCCCTTATGCGATGCTGATGTTTCAGAGAAACTATAGGGACTGCTGGTATTAAAGGTACTGCGCACATTTCCCAGCATCATGTATAACTCCGTGTATAACTGTAAGTGCAGCAAATGTCACAGGCTGCCCACACTCTAGCAACATCCAGCAGCTTACAGGATCAAGTCTTTAAAACAGAAACAAGGCTACATGTCTTGAATGTGGCTTCTTTCCAGTACTTGGGCTGCTCTGCTTCTTTTTCAGAAAGCTTCTTCACCCTCAGCAATGTCAATGATTATGTGAAGCAAGTCTTCAAAGGTAGGCCGTGCCTCTGGTTTCTGAAAACAAAAGCATGCACTCTTGTTATCAGCGCTAAAGTTATGTCAATTTTGGTAAATTCTTGGTTTTGATATCATATATGCAATGACCATCTAGATAAGCGTGATGTGGAAAAAAATATTTCTTTACACTGGTTTTGAATGTATCACTTCCTGCAATTAAGTTTCATACTATTTTTTGATTGGACAAACTGAAATGGTGTTGCTGGATGACAGACTTCATATAATTCATTTCTTTACATACTGCTGCCTTTTTCATTTTTCTCCCTAATTTCCCACCCCTGGTAAATTGTTGTAGCTTTTCTTCATGCAAACTGTTTGCATGCCTAAGCATTTGGAGTGCCCATCTCTGAAGTCTCTAGTTTCATGGACTGAGAAAGCAGACTACTACACAGATTAATGTAGCAGCATTACTCTGTGCTATTGCTCTTTTTCTTTTCCCATACATTTCCGTCTATGTCGTCACATCCTGTTTGCTTCATTTAATTGAGCCACTCCACTGACGTAGTCTCGTAGCTGACCTCGCTGCCAGTTAATCATGTTTTGAATGTAACTTGCACTTTTTCTCTATTTAACAACTTAATTTTTAATGTCTTCTAAATTTGGATGCTTTGGTATCCATGTCCATTTTCAAGTTACTAATGAATCTATTAACCAAGGTCTGAGACACCTATGGTTAATCATATTTTATGACAGATTGAATATGTTGCCACTGTTTGTGTCCTGTTTGGGATTAACAAAAATGACTTTACATTATTAATAATGCTTGATGAAATCAATGAACTTTTATTCAATTAATTCATGCTCACATAAATTCTATAAATAAATATCAATATTCAAAGAATCTTCACAAACAGCTTATCATCTTTGAGGTGATTTATTATTTCATTTTAATGGTCAAGCCAAGCAGGTTATCTAACATGCACAAAATTTAATGACTTGATATTTCCTGGTTCCTTGAACAGCCTTTTTAAACTATAGATGTGTTTGTAATTCTGCAGCCCTCCAAGGATAGCTGTTCTAATTTATTTCCTTGCTTCATAAATCAGCACTTTGTAAGCTTTAGATATTCATCACTTGGCTTGGTGACTAATTACTCTTTGTTCTGGCAACTTCTCCACTACAAGTATCAGACAGTAAGTCAGCTTTATTCTGGGAAAGAGCACTCTTACCTAAACATCTTCAGGGCAAAGACCAACTAAAAATAAACCACTTGGCTCTTTCAGGTTCTGGTTTCCTTGATTGCTCTCTCCAAAATAAGAGGGACATAATTAAATACACCTACATTATAATAGATTTTTTTCTTTAATACTGAAAAAAATAAGTTTCACAGCAATTTAATTAAAGTACTAAGTTTGCTTTTCCTGCCCTTTACCTCTTTGAACGCTGAGCAGCCAATATCCTTCTGAACCAGGAAGACCAGCAGTAAATGTTTGGATTTACCTGTTTAGGTTCAACAGCATCCTAATCTTTATTTTCTAAATAGCTTGCAATTGGGCAAAGTAGCATTCCTATAGAAAGATTTTGGTTATTCTGACATGTTTCTATAGTGACTAATAAGATGAGGCAGTACAGAATTAAGATCTTCCCTCTAAGGCACTCCAACTTAAGTAGTTTTGCTAGAAGTATTTATACACAGCCGTAATGAGTGGCACCAGGAAGCCTCTGCAAACTCTGTACGGGCAAGCTCCGTCTTGCAGCCCGACTGGCAGTGCCAGAAATCAGGAGGAGATGGAAGAGGGGGAGCAGCAGCATGGAGTGACACTGCCTGGGCACTGGCAGCCTAATTCACGCTATGGACAGGAACGTGACCTAGTTAGATCAGAGCTCTGTCTGAGTTCATTAGGCTTAATTTCAGGTTATTCTGAACAGATCACTGCATTTAAGTGATGCTGCTACATCCAACACTCCAGGCAACTCCTTCAAAGCCCTTGGTGTCATAACAGGGCCACAAATGTCCTGCTTCTCCCTGCACCTCATGGAGCTCATCTGGGTAGGCATGAAGTCCTGGAAGTCCCTGAGGGAAACAGGGAACTTCTTCTGCACCAGGGACCCTGGTTCAGGGGGTGAAATGATATGGATGGTGCTTCCCCCTCTCCACTTCCTCCTGCCCTAATGCCTCAGAAGCCACATTTGTGCCTTTGTGTTCCTTTTTATCTCTTTCTTGAACAGCCTGTTTATGGAGGATATCCTGGTCATTTTTGTTCTAGTAACCAATAGCTCCAATAACAAATATTCCCTCGGGAAGCAGGAGTTCATAGGCCCCTGAGCACAAGGCCTGAGGCACAGACAGGACACTGCAGTGGAGATTAATGGCTTGTCAATTCAAAGGCAAAAAATAAGAAAAAATAAATCTACCTCCTGCCAGCACATCATCATGACATCATACACCAGCTTGCAGGCCAGTTTGGGCCGATACAGACGATGTCCTTGGCTAACCATAGTTACCACTTCATAATTGGAGCTTTTTTCAAAGGGCATTTTTCCTTCTGTAAACACTTCCCACATAAAAACACCTAAAAAGTGAAAATAAACATCAGAAAGAAGATATAAACATTAGAAGAAAATAAACAAAAATATTTTCCTAAAGTAAATATGTACTTCAAGATCTAGGTACAAATTTTCTGATAGGGAAAGAAATTTTTTTGAGACTTACATTCTAGAAAGCATTCAAATGGGGCTTACCAAATGACCAGACATCTGATTTGCTGCTGAATCGGCTATAATTAAAAACTTCTGGGGGACACCACTTCACAGGGAATTTAGCCCCTGAGGAGCTCGTGTACTGATCATCCAGGACATACCTAAAAAATAGAACCAAAACCCTTTGGTCAGCCCCCAAACCTGCAGACTACAGTTTAGTTTGGTGAATACTCATATTGCCACCGTCTGGTCATGCCTGTTAGTACCACACGAAAAAGATTTCCTCAGAGGGGTACTGAAGTTTCAGTTAAGATACAGTTAATTTTTATTAACTCAGAACCTCTTGGATTCGAATACTAGAAACTCATATTGCCACCGTGTGGTCATGCCTGTTAGTACCACACGATAAAGATTTCCTCAGAGCGGTACTGAAGTTTCAGTTAAGAGACAGTTAATTTTTATTAACTCAGAACCTTTCCTTGTGGTTATTAACTAAGTGACACAGGTCTAGGCCACATACAAACCAAATTTCTATTTATGCTAAAGTTAAAATGAATTAAATTTTCATTTTAAATTTAATTATGTTTAACAAATGATGCAGCACCCACCCCATGTAGCACCCACCCAGGGCAACAAGGGCAGGATATGAAACCCTCCTCAGTTCTCAGCACCTCACAGGGCCTTGGCTAACGTGATCTGAAGCATCTCTGAAGGGAGGATTCTACCTCACTGAGCAGCCTCTTTCCAACATTTAACTGCTCAAATACACATTGACAATTGCTATTTCTTTAACCTAAACTCTACTGTCCAAGAAACAGATTCCAATATGCCTATTGTATCACCAAGAAATTAAAATTTATAAGATTATTACAGCATTTGTAGCATATTTGTAACAGAAGACCAACCAGATTATGTAATCAACATTAATTTAGCCCTTTCATGATAAGAGCTAAACATACCTAATTCTCTACAGAATGAACTCACATGTTTTACTTTTCCATACTCAGAAAGAATAGATCCCTGACCACAGATGAAATACTACTTAAAGGCAATGAGGGATAAAAAAAAATTCCTCTAATTTTATCCAACATTCGTGTCTTAGAGATTAGTGCAAGGGCTATGAGAATTTTCCCAAAGTCACTGCAAGTGTGTTCGTATACCCGGATGCTCATAGCCATACCTTGTCATGCCAAAATCAGACACTTTGACCACTCCTGAATCATTCACTAAGCAGTTTCTGGCAGCCTACAAAGGAACAATTAGATTCAGATTAAAACTTGCAATCTCTTTCAGACAAACTGTAACTGTTCAGTGAGGACTTTGTCCTCATTTCTTAGCAAGTTAACTGATTTACCAAATTCAGTGAGGTAATGTCCTTACAATCCAAATTATAAAGTACATGTACACTTGCTCTTAATGATATTACTATGACAACTGCAGACTTTTGTAAAAACAAAAAACAAAAGCAGGAAAAGTTATCTTAGAGGATTAATGAGTGGTGAAAAAGGCACCAATGTGGAATAAAGATATGCTGTTATTTCTGCAGAAACAGCTATTGATTCTTCATAAATATTTTAGAGAGATTTTACTCCATTTTGTAGGTAGAGATAAACGTCTGAACTTTCTCTTTACAGGGCAAATTTAGAGCTCCCCTTGGAGCCTAAAGAGCTGACTTAGCAGCTTTTATTTTGCAGAGAATTAACTGCTGTATTTCTGAGCAAGTGGTTTCAGCAAGGAGTAGAGATGTTTACAAATACAAGTTTCAAAAAGCGCATATTGCACAGCGGGCTGTTACCAGGTCCCTGTGGATGAAGCTGTTCCTCTCCAGGTACTCCATCCCCTCGCACACGTCTTGGCACATGGTCAGCAGGATGTCTTTGCTCAGCAGCCCACGTTTTTGCCGCAGGTAGTTCAGCAGGCAGCCGTGCTCCATGAATTCAGTCACTATGTAAATAGGTCTCTGTTGGGTGCACACACCGTACAGCTGAACTAATTTAGGATGTGTTAATTTCCTGGAAAGATTGAAATCACGTAGTTACTACTGCTTCCTCCACCCACTGCTAGCTTCCCACCCGCATGATACTGTAAAAATATCGTGTGCCTCAGGTGCCTTGTCAGTACATACTGTATCACCAGCCCGGGACTGGCAACAGAAGTACCCAAGTGCAGCAACTCACATCATCACTTTAGCTTCTTCAATGAAGTCCTCTTCATACATGGCACCTTCTCGAATTGCCTTGATGGCCACTTTGTACTGCGCCCGCCACTTCCCCAGGCGCACGACTCCGAAGAGACCACTCCCCAGCTCTCTCATGAAGGTCAGCTCTGATGGATTAATTTCCCATTTCTCTATAAAACCAACCAAAAACCAATGACTGTTATATTAGAGAGCATACTGAGTTGATAGGGATATGGAGGAGGAAAGAGAAACGCTAGAGTATTAGCAAGTTACAGAAATTAGGGAGAATTCTCCTAGAATTAATTTGAAAACATAGCACTTCTGTACCTTAGAAACCAAGCAGAAGTCATTAGATACACACAATCAATAAGCAGTTGCTGACAACACAGATGGCAAAAAGCAAGTTTTCTGAAACCAATATTTGCATACTGGTATTATGAGACTTGATTCAATAGGCTATTATATAAAATTGTGCCAGTGCACAGAAACTATTCGTGTCATCTCATGTGCTGTGCTTAAAATGGATTATTCTGCATTAAGAGAGTAATCGATCCATGGACGAAGACCAAAGGGCAAAGTTTAAGAGGTCCAACAGCTTATGAAAGAGCAATGGCCCCACTCAGTGATCACACAGAGCTCATGGTGTCCACAGAGTTTTTAGAAAAAAAAAACATAGAAAATATTGCAACAATTCATATATAAAAAGTTATTAGTGAAGTTATGTGTAGATTAACATAAAAACACATAATTACCATAGCTGAAACCTGCAGTTGTTGGCGCTGTCCTCATCTTTGGGGTCACTGGGTAGCGCAGCCTGGTAACAAGACCTGAATTTCAAAGACAATTCATCATACTTTACTTCTGAAAGAGCACTAGGCAGCAAATCAGCCCCTTGTTCCCTGCAAACTGACCAACAAGCTTATACACAGATTTAGCTTTGACTTTTCTGCTATCTCATTGCTTTGACTATTGAAAATGCTTATCAGAGATACATAGCAGCTACCTGTTGGGCCTAAATTTCTCATCACCTTTAAGGGTGAGAGACGGATATGGATATATTCATACATGTTTATGCATTACAGTTAAGCTGGGCACAAAAATAATTGCTGAGCAGAGACTGTACCTTTCATACACCAGATCAGAAAGACCATCTAAAATGTATATTCACACTGTTACTGTTGATTGTTTTTGGTTTGTATACATAAATCCCACCAGTTTCACAAGGCGATTTTATATATACGAAAGTGCTACACACTAGTTAAACAATCTGTTAAAATCTTGTCAGAATGCAATTAAGAAGTAGAGTTAAAAGAACGACGCTGTTAAAAATAAGTAGTAAAAATATCTAAATAAATGAGAAGCAGAGTTATGTTTCCGAGAAGATTTTTCAGAAAAGGAAACACCTGCGCAAGTGCCAAAATAAACCTGCTCCGGAATATTACTAGGAGATGCCTGGTCATCCAAATTTAATACAAGAATCTTGAAAATATATCTCATGCACAGAACTTGAAAAGATGTTGGTATCTGCACCTTGACCCAGATTCTGCTGTGCTTGACAAGTGGATTCTGGCTATAACAACTAGGGAACATAACCTCAACGTCAAAAGGATTCCTAAACTCTACCCATTTTATCAGAGAGTGCAAGAGAGCGGCAACTGTCAACAAAAGATCTGAAGCATCTAAGAATTACAAGGACAACTTCAGGGATTGTCTGAACAACGCTTTACTTTTCTCCTTATCTGTTCCTTACTTGTGGGCTAAACTGTGAATATATAGTATTATTGTAAATGTATATATAGAGTATTATACTAAATGAATATAAAAATCTGTTTTAAAAGCCAGAAGAACCTATACAAACCTAAAAACCCTAATACACTTTTCGAAATCCACTCTGACAAGAAAATCAGATTCTTTTACCTGCTGCATTATGTTTATGATACTCGATTATTTCTGGAATGGAGTTAAAAAGATGTTTTTCCGCGAGGTAGAACTGTTTTGGTGACGTCACTGTCTCTTTTATATGGTAGTGTCTTATCCCTGATGAGCCTTCTCTAAAAATAAATAAATAAATATATAAAGTAGAAATACAAACCCATTTCTTGCAAGTTAAAATAATATATATATATATAGAGAGAGAGAGAGAGAGAGACTTCTAAAAAAAAAACACTGTTTAATGCAGAGACAAGATACAAAATGTACTGAACAACTTTCACACCTGAAGCAGTGCACAAACGCAGGGGAGATCATACAGGCCCTTTGCACAAGTCCTCCCAGCATGGCTGGGGGCAGGATGCTGTCCCCTGGGCTTTCCAAGGGGAAAGGCTGGCACCGCTCCCCGGCACTAGCAGCACGGGCAGAGGGGCTCCGTTTGCCCGCAGGAGCAGCTCGGATGCAGCCCTTGGGAAGGGGCGCAGGGCATTTCACACCAGGGAGTCTGCAGGGCTGCCCCGCGTGCAGCACTTCAGCAAGGGCTTGGATTTCGGGTGCACTGCATGTTTGCTACTCACGTCCGCTTCAAGAATCTGCTCAAGTTGAGGATTAACCAATAAAAGGTTAATTTTCAGCCAGATCGGTTCACCTCACCACACACCCACACAAACACATAGGCTGGTGCGATGGTAAAGAATGAGCGGCACGCGAAAGCGAGCTTTCTTCTGGGGGCAGTTTGCACTTATCTTAGGTTATGGCAACTGATTTAGCCCTGGAATCTAGAAGCTAATTTTAAATTTTAGTCAACTTTTGTTTTTATTTTTTGGGTGTTTGCTTGTTTTTTAAATATCATCACTCACTTCTTTCCTGAATTCACACTCAGTCTTTTCACAAGCCTATACATTAAAATACCTATGCAAATCAATTCAAACAAGATAAGATTGTACAGAGTAGCCACAAAGGAAAAAAGAAAAAAAGAAGAAAAAAAAAACCCTTACCCTCCAAATTTTGTGTAAAGGGAAACTGTATACAAGCCTGGCTGACTTGAGTCTCTCACCACAAAACCACCTTCTTTGTCCTAAAATGCAAGCACAACAAGTTTCATGCCACAAACAATTTTAAGCTGTATGTCTTTTCTAATGAAGTTGTGATTTGCATGTGCTAAAATTAAACTTTAATAAAAGACTAAATCCTATGATTGCTAATACAATGGTACAGAACTCACCTCATTTCTAAGGAGTTGT